ACTGAAATCTTAATACAGAAATCAATCTTATTTTAAAAGCTGTTACACCACCAGATCTTCAGAACTGAAGTTTCTTAAGAACTACAGGACTGCACACAGTAGCTGTTCCACAGCAATAAGCTGCTAGGGCAGGTTTAGCCTTGGCTCTTGCAAATCCCTCTAATCAGTGTTGTGGCTCTGGTTAGTTTTCCCCCAAATGCCATCAATGTGAAGCAGAGAGAAGCATCAGCAAGGAAGTTTGTTAACATTCCCGTCCTTGTCACTTATCTTGGGCCTCTCCTTCACTCATTATGGCTATGAAAAATGGCATTTCTAACAATAAGCAAACCCGGGCATGGTCCCAAGCCCCTCAGTCCTCCCAGCAACGCTCCCAAGCCGAGGGCTGAGCTCCCCTGGCACTCGGCAACCTCCAAGGCAGCCCGTGAATCAACATCCCATAGGAGACACTCATTACTCAAGTAATTTATCACTTGTGGGCTGACCAAGAGCCTATTTACATGAGTGAATTAGATGCTTTAGAGTACCCCTGAAAGTGTCCCGAAGCTTTACCTTGGATTTATACGCCAGCTCAGTTGCTTCTCCCCCTTAATATGTTGTTCACTGTAGCTGAATTTAACTCGGGTATGATGCATCGTTTTACTTTTAGAAAGTTCTAATCCTCCTTTTTACCCGTAACTGCAAAAAGGCAAAGGCAAGAGTAGCACAGTTTCCTTAAACACATGAGACAGCGTGCTCGAGCAGCACCAACAGACTGGGAGGTGACTCATCGAACACAATAAATGATTTTATCTCTCGTGGAGACTACGGGGAAGAGGTGGCATTAGTTTAATTTCTATTCACAGCCTCGTGGTTGTGGATTCCTGACTGCTGCGGTGTGCTTGGAAGAAGGATGCTGGGATCAGTCACCCCAAACTGATCATTATGGCCCTACTGATCTTCATCGGGAGGCAATCATGAATTACTCATTTGCTTCCCATTTACATGTTTGCAGTGAGTTATTTCGCAGCACTGCCTGATACAGAATATAAAAATGGGAATATTTCACCCTGAAATATGCCTCCGAATCAGCCCCAAAGGGGAAACAGATTCAGCCCTTTCTGAAGCAAGAAATGGGACACCTGGGGCAGGGGATATTCCTGGGAAAGTGAAATGATTTTTTTTTTTAATTAATCGTATTTACTAGCTTATATGTGCAAAAGGAGGCAAGCAGAGTAAGGGGAGATAAGATTATGTTTTAAACCCCCTGAGGAGTCTGGACAAAAGGAAAATTGGCTCTGACAGCTAACATGCTCTGCCATGAAGGAAAGGGGTTTCTAACGAGCGAGACCTAATGGGCACAGTCGGAGCTGTCAGGAAATGTTGAATACCACCTTTGTCAACAACAACCTGCACGGGGAGACAAGTTTCTAACGTGCACATCGGCCAGGATTTTTCCTTTCCTTCGTGTTTTTCATAGCTGCTTGTAACTGTGTTGGCTGTGCTGGATGTTGTACAGAATAAGGTGAATTCTAACCCGAGCTGAACGGCGACTGACCATCTTACAGTTGAGCTCTAACCTACAGCCAATACTCAAAATCCCTATTTAGCTGACTAGTATTGATGCAGCTGGAAAGTGGCAGGCTGAAAAATAACACTGAAAAAGGACAGAGTTAAAGGACACACTGAAAAAAAATCATTAATGAAAACCTACAGTATTAATGAGACAGACAGGCCTGCAGAGAGACACTTTTAAAGCAGCTCTCCATTAAAAACTTCTCTCTAGACAGGGGTCAAAATTCTGCAGTGTGTCGGAGACCTGACCTTGCGAAGGGGTTCCTAGATGAGGCATGTATTTTGGAATCAACATGAGCAAAAACAAGTTCATCCTTCAACAGAGAAAGAATTCCTGGCTGCATTTTTTCCTTCGGATAAAACCAACAGGAGAACTGAAACCGGGTGGTAACATCTCCAAGGAAACAGCTGGAAAGCTTCTGCTCTTTGCAGATGCACTAGTATTCTACTCTATAGACACCTTGCACAAAACCATGCTTTGCACCCCAGAAAAAAAACACAGACAAGGTCTTGGTAAGATACCACAAACTACGTATGCAGCAAGACAGATTTTTTTGTACCGTGTCTGCATGCAGAATATATTTTATCACATCTGTTTGCTAAAATTAGTAACACAAATACTTCGATAAGTCATTTTTTTCTAAATATTTGCTGTACTTTTTCTGTTCTTGTGAAGAGAAGTGTTCTTTAGCACAGAGAAATTGCTGCTTCCTCTCTCTGGGCATCCCAAGCCCAGAGGCTACTAGCCAAAAAGAGAAGCTATTTTCACTTTTGTGCTTCTTCCTTATTGTCACAGACCTGGGATGGACATTTGTTAATTGTATGAAATTCCCCATTCAGACTGACTCCTGTATTACAGCTTTTATGCTATAGTCCCCCAGTGTAAAGGCATCTTATGCCAACAAGAGTTTCTTCTTCCAGTTTGCCAGTGTGCTTAGTCATACAACCCATAAAAGCTTCCTATAGCTACTATAAGTTACTGATGTGAGAGTGGTACCAATAACCAAAGGCAGCCCTGACCTTGACTGCACCCACGCGACTCCACGGGCTGATGCTGCCTTTCTTAGTCACGTTGCTTGGAAAAATGAAGTGGGAAAAGGGGCTGCAGCTCTTTCCTAGCCAGCATCCTCCCTCCTGATAACGTTTAATGTATCCTAAAAGCACAACTGCCCACCGTAACGACGGGACTTGCAGAAACCCTCTCCAAGGGAGGGGACAATTTTCTATAAAAGGGAGGCTGACAATGCTCCTAAATCCAGGAAAGCAGCCCTGAATGGGAACAACCTGCGACAGGGCCAAAGCAGCAAGCTCAGAAACAGCAGCTTTGGGAGGAGGAGGAACCCTCCAGTCACGCAGCCGGGCTCCTTCAGAGCCAGGAGCAGGAGGGATCCCCACAGCGTGTCCTCTGGCACGTTGTTCCCAATAACAGTGTTGTGCTGGGCAAAGTGAGGCTGGAGCTTGACTACCTGGCTAAGCAGCAGCTGCAGATGCTCCTTTTTCTGCCTAATACGATGAATGGTCACAGCAGTGGTGCTGGCTGCAGTGGCTTCATTTTCAGATTAAGTTAGGAAAGGGGTGGGGGGGGAAAAATAAAGGAAAAAAGGAAAAGGATAAAGCAAGGTACCTGAAATAACAGCAATTTTCCATGACCCGTGCTCGTCTCTGGCTATTCTTTCTGCTTCCTCCATCAGCAACATACCAAATCCCTACAGTGGAAGGGAAAAAAAAGAAGAAAACAAAAATCCAGTTAAAATAGGAAAATAGAAGCAAGGTCCCATTTCAAACACTAACACAGACCCAGCAGACTCCTATTTTTGGCGCAGGAACGCTCAAAACATTGTTGCAGGTAAAGACAAAAGCTGGTGTGGGATGTGGCTGTGGGACCCATGGGCCTCTTGCAGGGACAGACTCGTGTCCGACTTCACGGGATGAGGGAGAAACAGGAGCTGCCAAAGCACAAGGTGCAGAAGATCCCGATAACACCGAGGGGCAGGAACGCCGCTGGAATCCCAACGCTTCCCAACAAGAACAGCTTTTCCACCCTATTTAACAAGTTAGGTGGTTCAATACTCCCAATGGCTGGTTGGATTAATTCGCATCTAATATTAGGATGCGGGAGTTATGCTGGGCTCTTTGTCTGTGTATTTGCCTGACAAGATGTACAGGCTCGGGCTGTGGTGAAACTGAACTGGACGTAACTTAATTCTAAGAACATTTAATACTTGTAGGCATTTTAAATAATGCACACAACCCTTCAACCTGAAAACGTTCTTCTAATCAGAAATTGTCCTCACCAATTGAGGAGAGCAGTTTCTGCTTAACCTCTTGAACAGCGGCTCTTCTGAATGAACATCAGTGCGTCATATGCTGTGAAATCTCAATTTCCAGCTTATTTTAATGTTCGTAGCTGGTAACTGTGAATGGATTTTTCTCCCCCCCCCTTTTTTTTTAAACATTTGGGATGACCACCTTTTTCCCTTCCTAGATTTTGAAACGTTACCATTTTAGAGTGGAAACCTTTTTTTTTTTTCCCCAGCTGCTGCCTTGTGGCCATACGTCATCACTGTCCAACGAAATTGCATCTTAATGCATATACTCAGGGAAAGATTATTAAATACAAGGAAGTTAATTTAAACCCTCAGCCCCGAGCGTTTTTGGCACAGAGGACAAAGTGATTGCTTTTTTTAAAAGCTCAATCTTCAGGCTTAAAATCTACCAGGGCCTAAACTCAATCACACTAGCAAAAACCCAGGAGCAACAGGAATTTTAGCATGTGAAATACAAGAAAAGCCTTGATTTCAATTCTCTTCCTCCTGCAGCAGGCTATAACCCAAACATGTGCATGGATATCAAAGATTGAATACCATTTCGCACTGATTAGAATGGGGAGGGATGAGGAAGAGGCACAGGGAAAATCCGAGATGTCTTGGAGTACCTGATGCTGGAATTTGGAGGGATCCCGGCTGCTCACCGGGACCACGCTCCCGTACACGTGCAGCTCCCGGACTATGGAGACGCCTCCCTTCAGCTCCGCTCGGAATGACTCCTCCGAGCACTTCCGCAGGCGCAGGAGGCCCACCAGGATATCCTGCTCCGGGTCTTCATAGGACAGGAAGGTCTCCCAGCCACCATTGGCCACATAATCTCTTCTAACTAATTCAATCTGGTCAACGAAAACACGCAGCGAAGAGCACAAAGACAAGGAGAGAAAAGAGAAACTTAGGAAAAATACTTAAGTGAAACGTTGAACAGACCAAAACCAATTTCATGGATCCATAAATTATTATGATTCAGAGAAAACACAAAGTGCTTTCTTAAAGCCCAATTTAATTCTAGATGGATTTTAGCAGTAATGGATAAGAACCGAAGGAACTATTACCGCAGTCATATTAAAGCATGTGACTATTTTAATAGAAATATATTTGCCAACAGGATAAAACTAGTCTTCCGTGCCCATGCGAGCTCTCCAGAAAGGTTCATGACCCATAGAGCTAGCTGGTGAGTCAGAAATATAAAACTATTTTCCTTACACTACTTGAGTTTCATAATTCCTTTAAAATCAATGAGGACAACAGCTCTTTCCACTAACCAAGGGACTCGCGCTGAGCTTCTACTCCTAATTATAGATGAGCTAAAGCACAAGGAGCAGTTTCACACCTGCCTTCAGTGAACCTGCACTTAGGCCACATCTCCCCTGTTCTGCAAAAGAAAAGGCTTGAAGTGTCTAAAACCTGTGGTTTTCTAAGCAGCAGTCAACTCCCTTTCCTAGTTATGAATTAATGATCGGGACAGTGTAACGGAGCAGATCTGAGACGGTTGGCGTTGACTAAGAAGTCCCAGAAGTTTTTGCAATGCATCATGAAGTGCATTTGCACTTTAGAGCTCAGCAGCGAGTGCTCAGATATTGATGGAGACACTCAAACCATGGGGACAAGTACTCTGATAACTGACCAGTAACAAAGTATTACTTGCCTTGAACCTCATTTATTGATGACAATCCAGATAAAGGCACTTCTGAAGACCACAACAAGGAGAAGGGAAAAGCAAAGGCTTGACTGCCTATGGAGAATATGAGAAAGACTCTGCCTGGGCAGGAGAAATTAGTTTTGCAGGTCACCTAGAAGCTCTAACGGGTAACTGATAGGTAAGAGAGCAAAAAGCAGGAAAACCTGTTTTTCAGAGAAGGAAACTTAGCATCACAGGGAGCATCATCAAGGCCCATGACCTAAGAAATGACACAAGATCAGGCTTCCCTAAGGCAATGTGAGATCAGATCAGATCTGATATAACGTAGCAGAGTTAACACTCAGTTAATTTAATGTATCTTGTTGATGATGACGACGAAGCCACATCTCTGGTGACACAGTGAGTCACAGCACTTGGGCTTGGAGTTGAGCTGGTGAGCTGGACGAGCTACCCAGCCTTGCTGTGAGGGTTCCCTTGGCCACCCGAGCACCGGGGGAGCAGACCCAACTGCTCACCTTGGCTGGCTCAACACGCGGGTTGCAGCCCCTCTTGGTTTGCAATGCCTGAGCATCACATAAACACAACACACGCGTGGGGATTTTCAGAACAGACCAGTTCTAGTCTCATCCCATGAACTGGGCACCCGCTAACAGCTGGAGAACATCAGCTGCTCTTCTGGAAGGCTCCTCCATCCAAAAGGACTGAAGTTTGGGTGCTCCAAGAGCGCTCTGATGCTCTCCAAATGGGGAATCAGCAAGAGGAGGACTATTAAAGCAAACCCCAATTTGAACCATCATGTAGACTTACCTGCCATCATCAGAGAGACTCCTTTGACCACAAGAGATGCCCTGCAAGCAGGAGCTTTGCTGGCATTTCCAATGCTTCCCTCCGGACAGTGCGGCACAGGATTGACCCCAGCGTGCACCTCACTGTCCTCCTCTCTACATAGCCTCAGGAAAGGAGCTTCGCTATTTTACTGCAAATCTCTAATGCCCAGAAATCCATGAATTAAGATTTGTTTACTGAACAAAAATAATTAAAAAGACACGAGGGACCCTGCTGCCTCCCTACGGCGCTCCATGACGAAGGATTCGAGCCCTTGCTGCCTGCAGAGCAGGGCTCGTTTCAGCACTGACGCAGGGCTCGTGGGGCGAGCACCCAAACAGATGTCTGCGGATGTGCCAAATTCCGCTGGCAAACGGTGGCCCGCGGAGCCTCCTGCTAGCGACCAGCTCCAGGAGCAAAGCAGAAGCGTTGGGGAAAACGAGGGGGGACAAGATCCACACAGCGCTCCGACGCTGCGGTGCCACCACGGAGCTCGCTGGGGAGAATCGTAGAATCACAGAATGCTTAAGGATGGAAGGGACCTCTAGAGATCATCTAGTCCAACCCCCTGCACACGCAGGGTCACCTAGAGCATGTGGCACAGGACTGCGTCCAAGCGGGTTTGAAGATCTCCAGAGAAGGAGACTCCACAACCTCTCTGGGCAGCCTGTTCCAGTGCTCTGGCAACCTCACTGTTGAGAAATTTTTCCTTAAGTTCCTGGGGAACTTTTGGTGCTTCAGTTTCTGGCTGTTTCCTCTAGTTCTGTTAGTGGCCACCAGTGGAAAGAGGCCAGCACCATCCTCCTCACTGCCTCCCTTGAGGTACTTCTAGACACTGCTCAGGTCCCCTCTCCAGGCTGAGGCCCAGCTCCCTCAGCCTCTCCTCATAGGAGAAGGGGTTAGGGTGAAGCTCATTGCTGATATAAAAAAGGGAAGAATAAGAAATACTGAAAAACAGGGCCATGCTAAGAGTTCAGCAAGATCTGAGAATTCACAGCCTTTTCCTAAGGAAAAAAAGGGAGGGAAATCAGTCTATTGCGTGGAGCCCAGCAGGTCTCCATGCCCCGCTATGCATTTTCCATCCCAAAGACACTTGCAAGGAGGAACGAGGAGCGATTCTCCGCAGCCAGGCTTTATCCTGGGGCACACTGAGGTGAAGCAGGCTGAGACCTGCTGCCCTCCTCACCTGCCTGGGCATGGAGGGACGCAGGGGCCGGTGCCCGGCGGGTGGCAGTCCCTTGTCCCCAGGCACCCTGTGCGCGGGGTAAGAATAACCCTCCTTGCAGGGCAGATCACCACCTCAGCTCGCAATCCTATTAAAGGCTGGCACAAGCTTTGCTAGACTCGCTCTAATAAAGGAAAATCCCACATGGAGACGACACTCTTGACCTAAAGCAGCTAAAAAAAAAACCCCAAACCAAAAAACCTGCCTTATCCCTACTAAGGCTCCACATGGAGATAACTATCTTGATTGAAAAGGCATTTATTTCGCAGAAACAGCAGCCTCTGCCTCTTGCAGATAGAAACCTGCATTAGTGTCAAGGCAGTCCCGCTCGCTGCCCCTCACCTCTCAGAAGCCTTCACTCCAGCAGCTCCTCTCAGCAAGCTCTCACGACAGCGTTTTAAGACTATTACGTAGCTCTGTGCAGCTTTAACCACTTCTAAGAGCAAGCCAATATCCTCGGAGGCTGTGGAAAAATGCCATTAATTGAAAAGGCAGCTTAGAGGCAGGCCTGTAAATAAGTAGCTATGGGCAAGTAATCTATTTCAAATTGATTAAAAGATTCAGAATACTTTTAAAAGCAGACACACCATCATTATATACCTATATATAAAAAAAACCATACAGCCTACTGATCCTTAACAAAAAGGGGTTGCATGAAGTGCAACTAATTATAGGAAGGAACTAATTACTTTTAGATCTGACATGATAGCCTCTCTTATCAAAAGGATGGGTTGTTTACTTTCAAAGACAAGGAAAACATCATACCTTGTCATTAGCCAAAAGCACATGAAAAATTACACTGTCTTCAGAATTCCTCTCGCTTGCTGTCATGATAAATTTTGCAGAGACTAGATAATGACATCCTCCTGCCACTCACGGAGACGAGCTTAACAAAGGCAAGATTCAACATAACACTGCTTTGAAAACCCTGTGATAAGCTATTTGCTAACTACCCAAGACATTTACAATTTAAATCAGATTAGCACTGCAGACAACAGACATCTTTGGAAGATATTTTGTGAAATGACCACAGATTAGATAAGGGGAGCAGAAAGGCTGCATGGCCGAGGCACAAATACACTTGTACAGCCTGAGTTCTGGGGGAAATCTGATAAGAATGAGAGAAGAATGAGATAATTTGCTTGGGTTCAGAACCCATTTCCATGATGGATTCCCCTCCACCTGACTCCACATAATGGCAGCATCAAAACCAGAGAATGGCTCCCAGTAAAATCCCATTTGCAAAGGGAGAACATCACCCAGATTCCAAGCACTGCAAATATTCACGCTATCTAACTTTTGGCACCTCGCTTCAGAGCCTCCCTGAAGCCAAAATCACCAGGAGAACTTCCAAAATGCAAGTCGGGGAGCTCTGCAAGGAACCCCTCTCTGTGCTGAGGCACAGAAAGCCTAATTCCACTTCAGCCATCTGCATTTAGGGACAGCCAACAGGTGCCCATCGCACGGAAGAGGGGAGAGCTACGCAAGCGTCGTCCTGATTCAGCTTTCCACAGCAGCATCTTCCGTCTGCCACGAGGAATCCACGTTGGAAGGAAGAGGCAATATACGATTGACAAACTCTAAAACCCTCCAGGGGAAATGAGAGACAGCGAGCTGGATTTTAACAGCACCATCATTAATTTGAGAGGCAGCACAAGTGACAGAACAGGAGAGATTACTGGTTTTGTTTCCCCAAATTTGTCTGAGTCACCATATGTTGGATCCATCTTCCCCAGCTTTAGATGTTTACTGAGGAGACATCTTCATCTTGCTGTCAGCCAAGAAGCAGGAAGAGAAACTTCCAGGGCATCACGTAGTGGCCTCTGTATCACATATACCAAGGTGGATCCCACCCCAAGTTTAGAAGGTTCATGTCCTCAGCTCCCAAACGCAGCCAGGGACATCCTAATCATTTTCCAAAAGGACTCATCCCTTATCATAACTGAAATGAACTAGGGAATTAGTCGCCTAAATTGGATGACTGAAATTCAGCTGCATATAATTTCCCTTTCTTTAAAATACGCATGGCAATCTTTTTTGAGGACTATTTTAGGATTTCAGAAAGAAAAAGGAAAAACAAAAAAATCACAACTGTATCATATGCTAAGAAGATCTACTCACATATGAGTATATACAGATGAATGCAGAGGTCTATTACAGTTTGTGTCCATATAAACACGCACGCGGACACAAAAGACTGCAAGTTCAGCCTGCTGAATATTAAATCCTGTTCAGCATGAGCACACAGCCTTTTGGATATCTCCTAAGTCCAAATCTGTAACCGTATGGAGTGGGGAAAGGCTAAACAGCAGCAGAAAAAGAAAAACTGTTTATTTTGCTACAGCAAACCTGCTGGTGAAATAACTGGTGGCTCCAGTCATTTTACTGAACATGGTGGTCCATAAATTTCAACGCGTGACTGTGCCCAAACAGTCCAGCATCCAAAGCTGGAGAGAATAGAAATGAAAAATTGGAGCCAGTTACCATGGCAAACCACAGGTTTGGATGTGCAGCAAATGGGTCCCAATGCCTCCATGCCAAACACATACAACAAACTGCGTTGGACGCAAACTCCTGCAGAATAGACAAATCCTACCTGATAAGGTCTCACTTTATGGTGAATTTCTTGAATTCCAACCTCTCTCGTCCTTACGTCACGACACTGGAAAAAGAAAATGAGAGAAAAATCACACAGAAGTACATTAGGCTCTGAAACACACAGATTTCCAGCCACCCGTTGGGTTCAAAATTAAACTGAAATAGCGTGAAGTTGCGAGGATGAATTTCAAATGGGCAGACTTCAAAATAAAAATGCTCACCGATCCATCCCTAATACACCTTGGAAAGAGGTCTTAGTGCTAAATGGAAAGCCATGCTGGTAGAAATCAATTCACTGAGCAACCATTATGTCTCATGGGAAAACGTACCCTTTGATTCACAAACAGCAGGGACTGCAGGGAAAGTCAACATACATGAAAGAACAACAAGAAAAGACTTAGACATTATCCATTTTTACTCTACATTGGAACGTTTTGACACTGACAAAAATCTAAACCAAGGCACCAGAGACGTTCCTTAAAAAGACTGAATTTGAACAAGCTTTTTCCTGCTTTTAGGTGATAACATGAGAAGAGCAGCAGAATTCCTACTCAAATATAAGAAAGCAAAGCTCATGCTGATGCAGCATCCACAGAGCATTAGCAAGGCTTGGGATCAACAATACAGAAAGTGGAAATAGCTGAAAAAAGACACTTTCCTCCTGCAGAAATCAAAGGAGAAGACAGAGCTGCAAGCTCGGGGTTTGACAGTTGGGTTATAGTCTGCAAAACTTTTGCACTTCTCAGCAGTACTGACAAAATTAAGTAATTTGGCACCCATCTTGATAAGCAAACAGTTGTGGTCGTATCAGGGCTCCTGCTGCAGCGGACTCGGTGCTTTCACATCCTAGTGGGTTCGATGTAAAGATCAACGCTAACCTTAACCCAACTCTTGCCAAAAATTAAGTGCAGCCACAACAGTTTTCCCCAAAGCGGCGAGGTGTAAATCCACACGCGTGCTGTATTGGGAGAGAAGGAAGATATAACCTTACATGGGTTATAATTGCTCTAGCAACAACACTTATCTGTGTAGGAACTCCAAAAGACTTCCAGCCAAGAGCAGAGTGTGGGAAAAACCAATTCATGGGAAATACCTGAAGCACAGAACAAGCAGAGCTCCATCCCACGCCCTGCTCTGCTTTTAAATGCCATTATCGACGTAGAACAAAACTCTTCCAAAAAGCAGAGGATAAATGCTTCCTTTTTACAGTGTCATTCATCGTAGTACAGAAATAAATAAATAAAACCCCGGGCTTCTGGAGGAGACGCACACTTCTCTACATTACAATTTCCTAACCAGCATGCACCACGAAAGCCAACTATTCGCTCTCCATTAAGAATCCCAGGACTGGGAAAAGGCAGCGTATTTCTGTGATGATGCTTTGCAATTCCGTGTCCAACATGCACGTTTCTCTGGCCCCAGACAGCAGCTGGCGAACGCGCAAGGAGCATCCTGTGCTTCCAACAAGCTGCTCGGGGATCACTTCTTTGCAGCAACCGCAGCCACGCGCTGCAGCGTTGCCACGGCTCAACCTCATCCCCCAACCCCATCCTCACCAAGCCAATGCACAAAGATGATGCCAGAGGTGCCAGCACTAGTGAAGTGACTGGTATTTGCTAGGGAGAGCCATAAACCTTAAATATAAAGCTTCCTGCAAGCGCCCTCTCAGCCTTGGCTTTCCTCTCTCCTCTTCCAAGCTCAGAGGAAAGGGAAAAGCACACTCGGAGCTGACTCGTACGACACGAGAACGCAACTACAGATCTTACGTTCCAAGCTCTACTGCAGCAAACGGCCTGGCTCCTCATGCCACCAGCTGCAGCGTTTCTGCCTCGCTAAATTAAAATCTCTAATTATCTGCACAGCGGAGACTTTTTTAAAACAGATTTGGTTCTTCTGAAGGCAACGACTGCCAGCTTGACAGGCCCTATAAGCTGCAGCTCAGTTCAGCTCAGCCACCAGGCTCACCCCCGACTGCCATGGATCAGATATCCCTGCTTCTCCAGCTGATCTTGATCGGATTCAGCTCAAAAGATGTGGTTTCAGGGAAGGACTCGCTAGTAGCCCTAAAGAGCTCAACGGCAAAGGCTGAACTGCAGCACGGAGCCTGTGCCCCCTGTCTGGCTTTGCAGTGGAAAGTCAGCAGGAGAGATGGAAGCTTCAATGGCTGGCAAAGCTGTCAGCCAATTCCTGGCTTGCTGCTGGAGAGAGATCAGGAGGAAAGATTTATGGAAAAGTCTGCGGCTTCAGCGCAGGAGAGATTAAGCCACTATGGAGAGCCCAGCTGGAAGGAGGAGTCAACGCCAGAAGTCCGGAGTTTATTGCCTGATCTTTTGCGCTACAGCTACAAGATGCAACTGAGCTGGCAAAAGCATTACGCAGTTAAACACAGCCTGGAGAGCTATTTGTGTTAAATACTAACAATATCACAAAATACAAACCTGTGGGGGGCTCCTGGAACACGCGTTGGAGCTGAAGCTTTTACAGTTGCTTCTTGTTGTCCATGATACAAAATGAACCAGATTAAAAGCTTGTGCACACCTACCAAAGCTGTAATTATGGTACTGGCCAAAACCTCTCCTTGTAGTTGTTCTACCCTCCCCCGGATTAGGATAAAAACCACCCCTAACTGTAGGGTACGGCGGTCGGAAGATCTCGTGCTATGCGGAAAGAATAGGGGAGATGGGCACGTGCAGGGGAGATGGGCACGTGCAGGGGAGATGGGCATGTGCCCGTATAAGGCAATGTTAATGCTATTGGCTACGGGGCGCGCTTCCGCACACGGGCACCCTATATAAGCTCGGATGTACCTGCAATAAACGCCATTTGCTGCATCCACCATATTGGTGTCTGTGCTCATTTGGCCCGGGCTCCCGGGTGGTGGCGCCCGTGCTCGCACGAGGTAACGACGAGGCAATTGAAGCCGAAAGGCAGCACCTAACTCACTCATCCAATACTCACTGTCTGTGTGATGTTTAGTACAAAAGCACATGCAACCACACGTCTGGGTTTCTCTTGCATTTCCCTTCTTGGGAATAATCCATAGGGCTGATTACAGTCTATGTTGCCTCATAACGGCCTCTATCCCACCTTGCTGGATGTGGTAATGCCTTAAAACCTCTTTAAGGAAAGGTGAGTTAGAAATAGGGCACGCTAACTCATGATACAAACCCAGCGAGCAGCTGTGGTGAGGATCTGGCCTGCCTGAGCACCGGGATACCAAGGCAATGAAATGTCTTTGGAATAGGCTCAAAAGTAGGAGATTTGGGTCAAGCGTAGTCTAGGAACTTGGACGTGACTTTGCTGGAGGCTTAAGACAACTGGATCAAACCAATGGACAAGTGGGTTTCAGGAAGGAGGTGCCAACTCAGGCAGTACAGGCCAGGTGTGGGGACAGAGAGGTTGACAGAGGCAGCTGAGTGGCAGAGCTCAGTTGTGATGAGCGGGACAGAGTCCAGTTGGGAGACCTGCAGCTTTGCTGTGTCCCTCAGAGGTCAATCCTGAGCACAATATTGCTCAACCTGCACATGAGCAACCCGAATAAAGGCACAGAGTGGTCCCTTCAGCGAGTTTGTTGATGATGCAAAACTGGGAGGAGTGCCTGATGCACCTGAGCATTAGTACCAGTACCTCTGGTACCATCTTCATACCAGAGGGTACTAAGATGATGAAAGGACTGGAGTACCCGGGCAAGTCTGACAGAGCTGGGCCTGTTCTGAAAAGAAGACTGAGAGGACATGTCACCAGTGTGTGCAAGTATCTGCAGTGAGGGTGTAGAGCAGACAGGGCCAGGCTCTTCTCAGCAGTCCATGTGAATATGAGGAAAAATTTCTTCACTATGAGAGGGACTGAGCACTGAAACAGGTTGCCCAGAGAGGCTGTGGAGCCACCACCCCTGGAGATATTCAAAAGCCACGTGGAGAGAATCCTGGACAAATTACTCCAGGTGACTCTATTTGAGCAGAGGGGTTGGACAAGATGATCTGCACAGGTCCTTGTCAACCCTCCCCCTGGAGATATTCAAAAGCCACGTGGAGAGAATCCTGGACAAATTACTCCAGGTGACTCTATTTGAGCAGAGGGGTTGGACAAGATGATCTGCACAGGTCCTTGTCAACCCTCAATCACAGAATCCCAGAACGGTTGAGGTTGGAAGGGACTTCTAGGGATCATCCAGTGCAACCCCTGCTCCAGCAGGGACACCCAGAGCACGGGGCACAGGGGGCATCCAGGCGGGTTGGACATCTCCAGAGCTGTCCCCGGCCACCACCGAGCAGAGCCTGGCCCGATCCTCCCTGCATTCTCCCCTCAGCTACTTGTCCATGTTGCTCAGATCCCTCTCAGCCTTCTCTTCTCCAGGCTCAACAGGCCCCGCTCGCTCAGTCTCTCCTCACACGACAGATGCTCCAGTCCCTCCATCACCTTCGTGGCCCTGCGCTGGCCCCTCTCTAGAAGTTCAATGCCCTTCTCATCCTGGGGAATCCAGAACTTCCCCCAAGACTCCAGTTGTGGCCTCACCAGAGCGGGAAACAAGACATTGATGGCCCAAGCCTCAAGGTAGAAGAGCATCAGCAACGCCACCCAGCTGGCCACAGTGCCAATTTAGATGCTTTATCTAAAGCTTTCTTGCAGGATTTGAGTGCTACCACTCACCTGTTTTCATTTCCTGTTCATCTTAACTACAACACCTCCCTGCATCTCCGAGAAGATCTGTGTGACTCCCATGGGTCTCGACGCCTGGAAAAGCTAGTCCCCTGAAAAGCTGCTGGATTATCGGAGGACACCACTGCTAATGCAGCAGCTGCAAAGGCTGAGCTGTCCCATGGCAAGCCAAGTGTGAAATCATGGCCAAACACGGCCCTTATCAATTCCAGGTGCTGAAAAGTTGTTTCTAAATGTAAAATACATCTGTCATGATTACGCTCTCGAAAGCGGCTTCTTTTCATTTGCAGTATCTTGACCTGAAGACCTGTCCCGGCAGGAGGAGATGGGATGGAAATCATGGTGCTCACCTGCTTCTATAAGCTCCCGATTGTCTTTTTGTTTCTTTGCTGACTTTCACTCTTCCAATTATCTCATGATGGGGGAGGTTTCAAGTAAGTTGGTTTGGAACAGCAAGGCCATGATGATAAGAACCATCACCTGCACACAGAGATTCATTACCTGTTCCCATCAAAGCCAGGAGAGGAGGCAGCTTTTTTTTTCTTAAACAAAAATGCAACACTGAGAATTTTAAAAATCAAATTAAAGCATAGAAAGTGCAGGGCTACAAGCTAGTGCTGGAGTAAAATGGTCTCATTAAAATACAAATTACATAAGAGAACAAACTGTAGTGCCATTATGCGAAGTGTCACTGACTCATTTTCATTTCACTGGGCCCAGGCTAGAGTTTCGCTGCACATGATAAATGAACTCTTTGTACATCCCCTTCTTTTCCTTCCTTCTTTATTTTATTCTCTTTTAAAGTGGGGGGAAAAATTAGGCAATTATATGTCAGTGCTTCTCACTGGTGAGGACCCGATGCTCCAGCGTCGGGATGTTCTGCCTGGGTGAGGACTTTGGGACAAGCAGCCGCTGTGGTTATTTTTTTGCTCTCCAAAATGTTTTGCCCTGGCCGAAGCCTGAAGCTGGGGGATGTTCTGTCCCTTCCCATGTTAATGACAGAAAGTCGCAGCCCGTGACCCATCTGGGTGAGGAGGCCGAGGCGGTCGCTGTGTGAGAATGTGTAGGAGAGGCTAAGAAAAACACGCCAGCCAGCTGGGAGCAAGGACGGGAGTTGAGGTAATATCTTTTTCGGAGAGACAGAGTGTTTGCAGTTACATTACATTCCTAAATCCGTCTTCTCCCAGTTCGGGCTCTGGGGGCTGCATCCCAAGCAAAGGTTTTTCTCATGCTGCAGGCTGGGAATCACGAGGAGCACTCCGTAAAATGGGTATTTAAATCCAGGATGTTTGCTCGCTTGGAGAGCAAAGTGTGTCCCAGATTGGGGAGGTTGGCTTGTGCCCCAGAGGGTGAGCAGGACTCACTGGCATCCGTGAGCTCCGAGCTGGCGACCAGAGACGACTCCTGCATTGGCGGCTAATGGGTGAGACTGGGGGCTGTCCAGGGCCGGCCCCCTCTGCAGAGCTATTGCCTTGGTTTTCATAGAATCATAGAATGCTCAAGGTTGGAAGGGACCTCTAGAGGCCATCCAGTCCAACCCCTGCACACGCAGGGTCACCTAGAGCACGTGGCACAGGACTGCGTCCAAGCGGGTTTGAAGATCTCCAGAGAAGGAGACTCCACAACCTCTCTGGGCAGCCTGTTCCAGTGCTCTGGCACCCTCACTG